AAAAAAAACAAATTTCGTATACTTTTTAAAAACAACTTATTGTACTTTATACTTTTTCTTGTTTTTTGAGGGTCCATCCTAGTAAAACTTGTTTTAAAACTTGGAAGTTTTTCTTAAAAAGATCTAAAAGATTAATCTAAAATCAATAATGATAGTCACATAAGTTAATTTGGCACATATGTGATAGCGTTTTTTAATACAAACAAACATAAACATATTTCAATTCTTATATAGGTACAAATATCGATATAAGTAGGCATCGATACTTTTAGCCCGATACTTTGTAGGTATCGATACTTTCTTTCGGTTACAGGTATCGATACTTCTGTGGTATTGTTTCATCCCTACTAACTCAACGCCGAACTTAGACTTTTTTACTTGTTAAGAAATAACTTAGGTGGGTAAATTAGGTTCTTTAGTTAAATAAAAAATGGAAAGGTTAGTAATTTTTAATAATTTTTTTTAGTACTTGAATTTGAAAATTGGAACATTGTATTCAATAAAAGTTTTTAAAGGGTCGTAAATCAAACCTGCGCCACTAAATAACTACTCGCTCGCTGCGAAAAACTTGAAACTTGACAAAATTGTAAATTCTTTTATATTAACGCTGCACCAGTCGAGAGGACTTTCAGTTATATTTATTTTGTTTTTATTGCGGTGCAATAATTCTTTTTTTTGGGAATTGCATCGGTCTGTAAATGTCGTATGTATCCTCCTGACTTTCATCTTCATAATCTAGTATCATGGCAAGATCGTTGTTTAAACACCGTTGTTTTCCAAAGAATTCTTCATTCTCATTCTTTTGGTTGTTTCTGAATATGGAGAACCAATAACGTCAACAGCGTTTTCGATTTTAGTTCTCGTAATTCATTTTTGATCCTTTCTTCTGTGATTGGCCAGATATACGTTTTATCACTGCACTTGCATAATATTCCAGGGACCGAAAATAACAGTTATTTTTTTACCAGTTAAACTTGGCCTAATATTTTTTTTTCCGAAAGTTTTTCTGGATAATAAACAAACAGCTTTTCAAAATTAAACAAATTTCATGTGAAAGAGGACGAACGAAGGTTACCACCTCTATTTAAATTTTTTTTTAATCATTTAATACTAAAGACATTCATATACCAGACCCAAGGTTTGTGCAATGGTAATTAACTAACATTTTTTTTTGAAATATTTTTCAATAGGTGGCTTTGCTCGTTTAGACATTTCAGTTTTAAAGCTATTTAAGTCCTCTTTCATTTGATACCAAACTTGTTTAATTTGGATAAGCGGTTTGATTATTATCCGGAAAAGACTTTTAGTTGGGAATAAAAAATATTTGGATGCTTCTTAAGTCAACTTTACCACGCAGTTCATTAGCCTCCTCTGTAAAATTATCGTGGAAAACTAAGTTTTTTATATTTTTATAATCGGAAAAAATTTATTTGAAGGGAAAAAATCGCCAAACATCGCCAGTGGCGATTTCCTAAATTTTTACGCGCAAATATAAAAAAAATGGCCAAATTGGCGCGAAATCGCCAAATCTGGACACTCCGCTAACCACCGCCACCACCTTATACATAGATTAATTGTTGTTGCCCTGCAGGGAAAGCTACTAATTGTGAACTAGAATTCTACCAGTTTGCGTTTCAGCCCAACTAGTTCACGTTCTATCCTTTTTCAATGTTAGCGACTGTTATTTTTAACTTTGCGATGTCCTACGAGATGTCAATTGTCAGGCTATGCATCAGCATCTACTAGTAGAAATACTAGTAGCATCATACCAGTTGATGAGATAGTCTGCCAATTCATCCCCTATGAAAAGCATTAGTATGCCTTTTTGCTCGCGGCGCTCCAACGGCGCAATGGCCGACAGAGCAAAGCACTCGCGTGGTATGCCTGAGGTACCAGGTTCAAGCCCGGGCGCAGGGAAAATTTTTTTATTTTTTTTTTATAATATTTCTTTTATTTATATTTTTTTGGGGTGTTTTTTGTTATTCTTAAATTTAATTTAAAAAAAAAAATATTTTTTTTTATGGCACAAGTATTTCTTCCCATATATTTGTTTTTCGTTTTTTTTTGTAATGCAACTAGATTTTTAAGTTTGTTATTTATATTTAAATTGAGATAATTATTCCTACTTACATTAATCTAACTTTAAAAATCTTAACCACCTCCAAGCGGCCTCGAACCTGCGATCCCAGAACCAGAACCAGTAGTCTTCACGTGACGCCACAGCCGACATTTGTAAGAAAAGCAATTAATTGCGTTTTATTTTAGGCTTTGGCAATTCAAAGGCAGATGTCGCTGAACGCTTAATTTCTTCGAAAATGTCGAACTGGTAGGCACATACTAGTTTATGAACTAGTATTTTTTCTAACTGGTTTGGGGTTTCACTGCAGGGATATTAAAAGACTGTCAAAAATGTATAATCACCCTAATCGAAGAACTTTTGAAACGATTACCTAGTCAATTAAATACTTTTAAAAAAGCTTTGATTTTGTCAACAGAAAAGTGTGTGAATCACAAGAGAGCGATTTCAGGGACCTGCCAATTCACTATTTGACTTTGAAGGAAAGAAAGGCAGCGGAAACTGATTATTTAAATCTTTTAACTTTCCCATGGAATAACTTTTCTTAGAACCATTCCATCCGACTGTGAAGAATTTTGGATAACAGAGTGAGAACCGCAACAGGCAATAAAATGGAAATATAAGTAAATTCATATTATTATACTTGCCGCACTCACATGCTTTGCTGCGCGTTTTTTCCGTAATGAATTCAACAAAAACTAAGATTCGAAATAGGATGAGGTTGGAAAGCCTTAATTCAATAGTTCGAATAAAGTGTTATATGAAGGCTAATAGTTTTTGCTGCAAAACGTTTCCAATATCAAACAGTATGTTATCAAGGTTGAATAGCTCAATATATGACAACAACAGAAATGTAAATCATTCAGACACTATAGGTGATAGGTATGGGTTTTTATTTAATTTTTAGCGCCGAGCTCTTAAAAGCGGATTGTGCGATTAATCAATTAATATGATTAATATATATCCTATTGCAAAATGTGTTGAAACAATTATTTTTAAAAAGTAAGCGTATTTTTTAAGAAAATTGTTTGTACATCACTATTATATAAGTGATTTGTGTTATTTGTTATTACCCTCTGAAGGTATTCTATTCGTTTTTGGTTTTAAAAACTATATTATAACAAGATCCCATTTTTAAAATAAAAGATTTGTTAAATCGATTTCATGAATTTTATTTTAAAAAAATTTGCGATTTTTTTCAGAAATTGCGCTTTTTTTAAACAATCTGGACTCCCTGGTGGTAAGCAACTTTTTTCCATTTGTGCATACGCTCTATACAGTGTTGCTAAGTTTTGAATTTGAAAAGGCACTAAAATCCAAGAAAAGTCGCGTTTTTTCTCGAAAAAAGCGCCAAATTTTTTATTGGGGGATTTATTGGGCTTTGTATGCATACAAAATTTTATTGTAGGTATGCCGATTCAAATTAATAAAAACTAATGCTTCTTGCTCGGCGGTCGAAGATTCGTTATTCATTTTACTGTTAGGAGATACTGGTGCTTTTTTTAATATTCGCAAAAAATATAAAAAATTCAGCCCAAATTAAAGGTCTAAAGATCGATTTCTGGTCTCAGAAACCTGGACGTTTTTGCAGGCAATGGGAAATTACCTACCGTATGTAATTCTGGCATGATTAAAAGTGCTGCCACTTACTTTATTGACAAACATATGCTCTCTTGCTTATGATTGTCATTGTACCATGATTTTGTTTCCATTTTTGGAAAGTTTCTTACGAAAATTCCAATTGCTCTAAATTTAACATCCATTTTTGTTTCAGATTTACAGTTTTGGTGTCTTCAAACTAAAACAAAAAGCACCAAAAACGCACCAAACACCAAACTAAAAAATTTTCGCGTTTTAAATTAAGAAAAGCACTAAATTTAGTGCGAAAAGCACTAAGTTGGCAACAGTGCCTCTATAGCTCTCCTTGGAGCTCTGTTTACCTAATTCATTTACCGCTCTGCCGCTTCAATATTTTGTTCTTTCTTCGATAATTCGCGCCTTCACGCACTTCCGCGGTTCTGTAAATAAGGAAAACGAGCATTGAAATCCCAAAAATTCAAGTTCTCATTAACGACGGCAGTAACACACGCAGCAGTTAACACTTTCCTGGATCAATCATTTACTTACCGCTCGCGTAAATGCTCCTTGACAAAGACGCGGCCAGCAGGAATAACGAGCACAACTGCCTTTTTGTTTACCTTTATCTTTATATGTATGCAGTGATCGGACTTTTACCACATTGTGGTCAGTGTGCACACTTCTATCGCATATGCGGTAGATCTACCGCATATTTGACGATCTACCGCATCTACCACACAAGGTTTGAAATCTACCGCATTTTAGCATGCCAAATTTGCGTCTTTTTGTGTGGCAACTTTTGTTCAAAATACTCAGCTTTGTGGCAACATTTGAAAATAAGGTGCTAAAAAACCATGTCTGGCAGCACCTTCATGTCTAATTCGAAATCGAATTAAAAAAAAATATTCGCAGCATTTAGCCTGTTCCTGTACTGCAGGATTTAGTCGGAAATAGTCCGGAATATAGTACTGATAATATTATACTTGGAACTATTTCTGGCTAAAACCTGCAGTACGGGAACAGGCTTATTGTTGATTAGTAAAAATAGTTTCGAGTACGTTGTGGCGAGCGTTTCTAAATGGATAACTTTCTAAAAAGGTTAATTCTTAAATTTATGCTATTGTTAGGAAAAAGGCTCCTTTAAGCGAAGTGAATATGGACGCGTTTATTTGCTGACTGACTTCTAGTCGTTGTTTCTTTTTATTTTGTGCTTATTACTTACTAGTACGCTACAATACGTCATATGCTACAATTATATACTTAAATATTGATTAAGTATACAGTATAAAATATCTCTCCCAGGCTAATATCCACGTTTCTAATTTCCATATTGCAGTCGCTGCGGTGGTCTTCGCATACGATTTGAACGTCTTACGTCATCACCAACGGTTGTGGTTGTTTTTATCGGCTCCGTCGTTTGTTGTTCTTCTTGCTGAGATTTTGCCACTTCTGTTGAGTCAGTTTTTGTTTTTTGTAAGGATTGTTGTGGTTCTGGTAAATCCTTCATAACCCATGGTTCTGGTGAATTCTTCATAACCGAATTAGCACCCTCTGTTTCTTCTGGTGGCAATACCTCAATTAACGTGTCGCGGTTTAGGTCCTCACCAATTTTTCGAATCTGATCCACGTGGCGTTTCCAGATACGACCATCGTCGAGCTTTATATCGTAGTGCAAAACTCCCAAAACAGCAGTAATTTTCCCGAACTGCCATTTGTAGATCGTAAGGTAGTCTCGTACGGCGACTCTATCACACACTTTAAATTGATTGGTTGTCATATTTCGTGTTTTTACCTCAATATTGTTTTCTGGTAACAAGAGATCAAGGCATGATGAAATTTGTCGTCCGAACATTATCATTGCCGGACTTTTTTTAGTAGCCGGGTGTATCGCACGTCTGTAAGCAAGTGATATTTTCGCCAGTTCACTCCTTAAGGTTTGCGGTTCCACCCAGCGGCCTTTAGCTTGCTTTTTATAGTCTGGACGAATCTTTCAGCTTGCCCATTAGTAGCAGGATGGTAAGGAGCGCCTAGCTTGTGTACAATTCCATTTGAATTTAGGAAAGATTGGAATTCTTCGGAGTTGAATTGTGTTCCATGGTCGCTGACCATGACACGGGGTATGCCATATGTTAAAAAAATTTCTCTGCATTCTTGTATTGTAGTTTCCGTGGTCATGTTGTTCACTGCTTTTACGACCGGCCATTTGCTTAAAGCATCAACCAGTACAAATAAATATTTGCCACAAACTGGCCCCGCGTAATCAACGTGTACCCTCTCAAATATTTTACCTGGGGGCAGCCATGGATGGACTGGAACCATTCTAGGGTTAGGTCTCGTCCTTTGGCAGGCTGCGCAGTCTGAAATTAGCTTTTCTTTGTCATCGTCGATATGTTGCCACCAGCAATAGGCGCGTGCAAGCATTTTCATTTTCGCCATACCAAAGTGTCCAGTATGTAGTTCCTCCAAAACCCTGTCGCGTAGCTTTTTAGGTATGTAGACACGAATACCACGAAGCAGATATCCTTTTTGTAAGGTGAATTCAGCTTGGGTATACCGAATCTGTCTTTTGGTTCGCAAAATCTTCCGTGTTTCAAACATTCGAGTAAATTAGCAACCTCCGTATCCTTGCTTGTGGCTTCGGACAAACAATCGATTTTCACTGGTAAATTTTGGATGAACTCCATCTCGACCACGTCAACTTCTTCAATAGCTGCGTACGTGTCTGAAGATGGCAATCGCGACAACGCCTCAGCATTCGCGTTCTCTTGGCTTTTCTTAACTCGTACGTCATAATTAATTAGTAATGCTGCATACGCGTAGCTGATAATGTCGGTAAGCCTTTTTCGGTGAGAAAATTTGGGAAACGCCTTGTTGTCAGTCACTAACGTGAATTTTGTACCAAAAATGTACTGATAAAACTTCTTTACGCCGAAAATTACAGCATAGGCCTCTCTGTCTACTATACTTTTGGTGTACTGCATTTAACGTTTGCGAAGCAAATTGTATTGGCCTTTCGTTGCCATCTGCGACCGTGTGGCTTAGAACTGCACCAGCCCCAGTAGGGCTTGCATCCACTGCCAATACCAAGGGCAGCTTTGGGTTGTAATGTGTTAGGATAGTATCCGACTGCATCAAAGTTTTTATTTTTCCGAAGGCTTCAACGCATCTGGCATTAAATTTAAATGGCACGTTTTGACGAAACAGCATATTCAGCGGGTAAACAATATCGCTTAAATTTTGAACGAACCGCCCGTAATAGTTTATCAGACCTAAAACTGCACGTAATTCATCCTGGTGACAGGTAATAAGGTCAATGGAAATAAGGTCAATTGACTTTATTTCCCACCCTGGTGCGAAATAAAGTCAATTGACATTATTACCTTTTCAAAAGCGAAATAAGGTCAACAAAAATTTGGAAATAAAGTCATTGACGCTATTTCCTCATTCAAATGGAAATAGCGTCAACAATGCTTAAAGTATGTCGATTCATAGAAAAAAATGTTGTTCTTACAATAAACATTCCCCCGTAAGTGTCGTTTTTTAATAGATGAAAAAGGTTATAGCCAAATCCTCAGGGTTGTGATATTAATCCACACACAATCTTGAACTCCCACGAATTGATTTTATTAAAAAAATTTAAATTACGAATATGTAAAAACGCACAGCTGGAATACGAGAAATATTTGAAGAAAGAGTGTAGAAATGATCCATAACTTGCAAAACATGTTTCGTTTCCACAAAAATAAAGCGAACACTATTAAATTGAAGAAACAGTCCATGTCCAAAAACCCCGGAGGAACCCTGAAAGAATTCTGTGTTTTAAATTAGCATATTTTGAACGAATTCGGAATGTCTAAGGTGGAAAAGAAACCAACCTTTCTATAAGGAAACAATGTCTCCGCCAGCAATTTGTGACGACATCATTTAAAAGCAGCTAAGGAGAATGACGACACTATTTATTAGATGGCACATTCAACGAGCCAATGTAACAAAATGCGGGTATAAACAATTATTGATTATTTAATATCGGAACCGAGATCATATAAGTTAATTAATTGGTTTTCTCACACTTTTGAAACACAAATTATATGCTTTTTTACTGCAGACAAGTTGTTGCCCCAAAACACAGCAGAAATCTTCCAATCAGGGCTGCCAACTATCCTTAGATATGAGGTGCCATATTGAGGATAAAAAAGTGCCAAAATGTACCAAATAAAGTAATAATAAAGCTAAGCTTTCAATAAATAAAAATTAAATAATTCATTTATTAAAACGGTGATTTTTTGTAAATATTCGCAATGTTTTTCATGCCATAAATGTTTTTTTATTTGTTTTTAAAGCATGGCTTATATTTTAACAAACACCATACAAATCCAAGTTTTAAACTGAATACATAGTTAAGAAGTATTTTCCAAAGTTTAATGAAAATTACAAACTTTTTAATAAGAATTTCAAAATTTTGATAAATTCTTATTTAAAAGTTTGCAATTTTGATGAAACTTTGCCAAATACTTCTAAATTACGTACACAGTGTGAAGCTTGGATTTGTGTAGTAATTATCAAAATATAAGCCAGGTTTTTAAATGAAAAATAACATATTTATAGATGAAAAACATAGCGAATACTTAAAAAAAAATTACCGTATACTTAAGGAACGAACACTTATCACTAAAAAACAAATTCGGAAAACCACATTCATTAAACTACAATTCATTTAAAAAACAGTAAAACAGTAAAAAGGCACTACAACAATAAATAAAAAGTGCCAAAATGTACCAAATAGAAAAATAAAGGTGCCAAAAAAGGTGTCATTCCTTTTAATCATTCACATTTAGCAATAAAATAAAGCTACATTTTGCAAACAGAAGTGCAATGATAAAATAAGATGAACCAGTTGAATAGCCTTTATAAATTAGAAAATTTTAGTTGAGAAAAAGAAGTACACGCAAAGGATTTCACAAAAATGTATTGAAATGTAATTTTTTTTACAAAAGTGCCATTTTGGCACTTTGTGCCAAATTGAAAAAATAAGTGCAATTTGAAGTAAAATAGGGACAAATGGCACGGTTTGAGACAAGTTGGCATCCCTGCTTCTAATAACTTACAAATATAAAAATTTGAAATATCGAGGGCTTGAATTCATTAATACCCTCTATCTGCAATTTGCACAAAAACTAATTTGTGATTTTAGAAACCATCTGGGGCTTATTACCTGTCGTTATATAAGGTAGCATTAATATCAGTGATGACAGTTAAAGCTTAGGTGGATTTTTATATCAGAATCTCATCTTTGTGAAAAGTGTGCAGATAGAGAGTATTATTGAATATAAGCCCTCGATGTTTAAAATATATACAAATTTTATTTCAACGTATACAAAAAATAAATCTACCTGCGTTACAGCACGGCGGGAGACGGGGAAGGGGGCCCGGGGGGGGGCCGCGGCGTAGCGTGACGTGGTGTGCGCGCCGGTTGCGCGGGGTACGCGGGGCGCGAGCGCGAGCGCGACGCGCGGGGTGTGGGGCGCTGACGCGGGCCGCCGCGAAGCTAAGCAAATTTAATATTTGAAAGAGAAATAATGTCAATTGATTTTATTTCGTTTTTAAAAAGGTAATAATGTCAATTGACTTTATTTCGCACCAGGGTGGGAAATAAAGTCAATTGACCTTATTTCCGTTGATCTTATTACCTGTCACCATTCATCCTTAGTAGTCGGTGGTGTCATATTCTGTATCGCAAGAACTTTGCTGCGTAACTTGCGAATGCCGGTTTTATCGATTTCGTAGCCGCAATATTTAATTCGGTCTAGCAAAAATTCTGACTTCTTCCGATTGATGCGCATATTGTGCTCATTTAACCTGCGTAAAACCTCTTCAATGCGTTGTAAATGTGTTTCATCATTGGTCGCTGTGATTTTTATGTCGTCTAGAAATACAGTTAGACCCGGCAGGTCGCTGAGGGTTAATTCCATAAATCTTTGCCACTTACTTGGTGCGCACGCTACTCCAAAATTCAAACGGGTTGGTTTGTACAGCCCTTTGTGTGTTACAAGGGTAAGTAAGTGTTAATCGTCAGGATGAACTTCGAGATGTAGGTATGCATTAGACATATCAATTTTAGAAAACTTTTCGCCGTCCACCATGGCACTAAAAAGTTCGTCAATAGTGGGAAACGGATGTTCGTCGACCACTAAGGCAGGATTCAGTGTGACTTTGTAGTCACCAACAATTGGCGTAGCCCACTCCGATGTATCCACCTTCAGAAGTATGCCTTCCTGCACCTGCCGTGCGATTTCGTCTTACACTGCCTTAAGTAAAGAGAAAGGTACACGTCTTGCTTTCACGAACTTCGGTGGTACGTTGTTTTTGAGGTAAAGTTTAGCTTGATTACCAACGATTTTGCCAGTCCCTTCTGAAAACAATTGTGGA